GCAGTGTTAGCTGGCATGTAGCAAAATTCATATTTTGACTTCTTAACAACCTCATAATTCAGAGGATCCACTAACACTGACACTCGGTGTAGAATGTACACAGGACAAAAACACATCACGTTTGGAACCGTTTTGTCAACCACAGCAGATTTTTAAAAAAAAATTCATTCATTTTTGCCAAAGAGAAAGACAGAATGACGACACAACATTAGTGGTCTATGGTCGACAAAACCGCCCACTCTGACTGTTCCTTGCATGCATCTCAAGGAATGTTGGGTAATAGGCCGCTGCTGAGTCTGCATTAATGTGGTCTTCACTGAGTGCCGCGTAGAAGGCACTCATTTGATTACCAGAGCAGAAAATGGGACACCCTACAGCCTCGCAGTCACATATCGCTGTTGTCGGAAGAAAATCTTCTATCTCCAAAATGGTAACTTTACAGGAGAAGGAAAAAACATACTGTACTTTTAATGTAAGTCAATGGAACCAGACTTTTTCCCAAGTCATTTTGGGTCATTTCTTTTGGTCCATTCATCATGAAATTTACACACAATATAAAGAGCAACAGGCATTTTCAAATTCCAAAAACTAAAAAACGTCAAAAATGGAGATACGAGGTTTTCTTCCGACAACAGCGATATGCAAATATGGATCACAGGTTGGCAAATGGCTTTTCTCAGGTTTAGATACTCAGGCTGTGATTAATCCTCCTGTGCATGAACATGAAAGTGTAATGAACAGCCAACTGAGGAGCTGAACAGCTGTTCTTCACATGATTGATGCCACAAATGTCATGAAGAACAAGAGCACCTCCTCTGTCAGCCCCTGATGAGTTGGTCCAAGAGCTGCTTATTATCAGAAATCCTGAATTTAACCAACCCTTACCTAACTTATAATTATCCAGAATGACTTGTATTCGAAATACAGTGACGTAAATAATATAAACAGATAATTATATGTATTTGTCTTTTGTCAGATCATAATTTATTGTTGATTATATTTCTTGTTATAGCTACACACATCGCAGATTCATAAAAATATAATTGACAATAAATTATGACAAGGCAAATGACAAATATATATAATTTATATTATTTAAGTAATTGCATTTCGAATACAAGTCATTCTGGACACTGCAGATTCATACTGGATTAAAATCGCTCCACAATTATTACTGTCAGACTGTAAAAACTACACACACTGCAGATTCATACTGGATTAAAATCGCTCCACAATTATTACTGTCAGACTGTAAAACTACACACACTGCAGATTCATACTGGATTAAAATCGCTCCACAATTATTACTGTCAGACTGTAAAACTACACACACTGCAGATTCATACTGGATTAAAATCGCTCCACAATTATTACTGTCAGACTGTAAAACTACACACACTGCAGATTCATACTGGATTAAAATCGCTCCACAATTATTACTGTCAGACTGTAAAACTACACACACTGCAGATTCATACTGGATTAAAATCGCTCCACAATTATTACCGTCAGACTGTAAAACTGCACACACTGCAGATTCATACTGGATTAAAATCGCTCCACAATTATTACTGTCAGACTGTAAAAACTACACACACTGCAGATTCATACTGGATTAAAATCGCTCCACAATTATTACTGTCAGACTGTAAAAACTACACACACTGCAGATTCATACTGGATTAAAATCACTCCACCATTATTACTGTCAGACTGTGAAACTACACACACTGCAGATTCATACTGGATTAAAATCACTCCACAATTATTACTGTAAAACTACACACACTGTAGATTCATACTGGATTAAAATCGCTCCACAATTATTACTGTCAGACTGTAAAACTACACACACTGTAGATTCATACTGGATTAAAATCACTCCACAATTATTACTGTCAGACTGTAAAACTACACACACTGCAGATTCATACTGGATTAAAATCACTCCACCATTATTACTGTAAAACTACACACACTGTAAATTCATACTGGATTAAAATCGCTACATATTTATTACTGTCAGGCTGTACAAACAGTAAATGTTACTGATTGAAGAGCCGTTTGCGATCCGAAAGAGTCGAGTCTCACTTGTGTGCTGAACTGATTCACTGAAAAGAGCCGAAATGCACATCAGTAAACGGTCAGTGCCTAGAATCGAAGAATCGACTCTTTTCGGTATCGACTCTCAGCCCTGTTGCTAGCTAGCGGTCGGTGCTGGGAAAAGAGAGTAAATGCGAAACGCTTCGGACAGAGAAGTGTGTGTGAGACAGAGAGACAGTGTGTGTGTGTGTGTGTGTGTGTGTGTGTGTGTGACAGAGAGACAGTGTGTGTGTGTGAGACAGAGAGACAATGGGTGTGTGTGTGAGACAGAGAGACAATGGGTGTGTGTTTTATTGACATTTTGTCCTATTTATATCCACAGTTCACCCACTCAGCCTTCCTCTCTCTCATTTCAGAGGTTTATTGCCATCTAATCAGGTACAAACAGTCTGAGGAGCTGTAGTCAATGCCTCCTCCCTCTTCATGTGCTCTTCTACAGGTTTTTTAATCCTCTCAGACAGTAAAACAATCTGATCTCCGGTCTTTCTTGTGTCGAGCACAGTTCAGGTAAATTAATGGGTCCCCCTTAAAAACATTAGCATGGGTTTGACGGTCGACAGGCTGAAGGAAAGCGAAACAAATGAGCTGAAAGAGGTCAAAAACGACGAGAAAACGCTTTCTACAGGACACAAACTACATCTATAGTCGATTAAAGCAAAACCTTTAGCAGGAATACAGAGCCTAGCCAAGTTGTTTTCTCATTAGCATCTTAGTCGAATGCTCCGTTCCACCTTAAATGGTGCAGTGTTCACATTCTGGCGCCAAGCTAAAAGAACATAGGTTGAAATAAGATTTAAAAAACGACAAGACACTCAATCTATCCTAAATAAATGACATCTAAAATGTACTAAAACATAAATAGAAGCCGTGAACCCCTTCCACAAACACAAAGCTCAAGTCGAATTTTCCGGTCCACCTTAAATGGTGCATTAGTAATGTAACGTTAAGGTGGAACTGAAAATCACTGTAATTAATAGCAATACAGAGTCTTTATTTAACAACCATGTATAATGTGGAAAGAAACTTATTTAAAAAGCGATTTAAACACAAAAACAACCGCTTTGTTTTATTAAATGGGATAAAAAAATGTGAAAAGTCTCTTTTCTGCCCTCTTGTGGCGAAAAGTGGAATCGCGCTCTGGCTCGGGAGACCATTAGGTTGCACCACACTGTTGTAGAGAGAGAGAGAGAAAAAAAAAACCCGCACATATGATATTTCATAGTTCCTGTTTTTATTCATAGTTTCTGTGTAAAACAGAGACAGTCTGCATGGTGGAATTCATAACCGCTCAGCTCTAATGCAGAATTAAACATCTCTAACCTGAAATGCAAGCAAAACAAAACTGAATCTGATATTGTAATTACTAGATTACAACAGCATATTGATGTTCTATCATATTTACTGTGCTATTCGTGATATTTTACTTATACCTTTGTGAATATTAGGATTATGGTTAGTCTTGCTGTGCTTTAGACAGACCTCTATATGACGCTGCTTCACAGTTAGTGCTAGAAACCTGAGACTGCTATTAAAAATATATTCTAAAACCCAGTTTTAGCCGATACAGTGCCAGAAGCACATCTCACAGCATGGTGTACATCTCAATAAAGTTAAGTGCCAATTAAATTAGTATATATGCAATAATATTAAACTGTAAATTATCTCTATATACTTAAATATTCACCTCAGAATATGGATCAGCATGAATTAATTTGGACTTGATGAGACGGTGAAATGATGAAATGAACAAAATACGTAAAGGTCTTCAGATTTATGGTGCTCATGTTATCAGTGTATGTTCTGCACATACAGATTCAGTCCAATCCTGTGCTTTTTATCTGATTGATAAGGATTTCTTATTGTAACCATTTGAAATGACTTTTCATTTTGACTGATATATGAATGGAATTGGAGTGAGTCAGTCTTAAAATGACTGACGATGTAATTTGATATGTTTGTTCAGTCTGTGAAGAAAAGCTCCGACACAGATTGTGCTGGCATTGACTGTCCAAGCAAAGCTATAGTTTCTAGAGACACTGCAAAATTGGTTTATAGGCCTCTGAAGTCATGCCCCATACTGTAATCAGCATCATGCCCATATAAGGAACTTCGGGTCTAGGCCGTTTTTCTCTGTAGGGAAAAATGAATGCAGTTTTGGAAAACGGAGACTATGTTTGACCGATCACTGGTGTTGGCATGACGACACCAAAGATGATGAATTGGCTGTGTACCAGCGACATTACATTCTGAATGCAGTGATGAGGATCTTCATGCTGCTTTCACTTTTCCAAAATGGAGAGTAGCCCATTGTCGATCTTGGCCTGTTCTATGAGGAGCCACTCGTATTTGCACCTGAAGACATTCAGCCTGTTTGGCCTGTGCTTCATCTTGTGGGGACCTGCATTTACAGGAGCAGCTCAACATGAGTTACGGAGAACCAAGCTGTGAGTGAAAGAGTTCTTTAAGCTTTTTAATGAGGTGGAGAAACTCAAAAGAATCCAGTGCATTGCTGGAGGCTGCCTGTTTCACGAGGATTGCTTGTTTGGTGAAATTGCAAAAAATCACATTGTGTCTGGTGTGTTTAGGTTTGATGTGGTACTGTCGTGTCCAAATGTTTCTGTGCGTAATGGCCTTCAGGCTTATTTTCCCCTAAATGTCCTTAAATCCTCTGAATTATGCTGTTGTTGTTTAACAGTCGAAATACAAATATGGGGAAAATGTACACAGTACAAAATATATGGGAAAACCAAGGAGAGCAATAACAACAGAACGCCACGTATTTTTCCCTATTATGAAAAATGACGAACACCCAGAGTTCCTTAATTGGTCATTGCTGAGTCATTGTGGATGACATGACAATGTCGTAACACAACATTTGTATTTGTATTTCCAAAACATTCGTATAGAAGAAAAAAAGGTTCTTCATACAACACTATGTAAGATTTCTTTGCCAAAGTTGAAAGAAGTAGCATTACTGAGTCAGGAGAAAAAAACAGGGAGAATATGGTGAGCATGTGCTGCTGAGAGTCGCCCTGTAAAGCCTGAAATATTCATTTAAAAGTCAGAAGCATCAAGTTGGGAGTTTTTCAGGTCATCTCATATGTCTTTACGTATTAACGTCACACGCACAGACTCAAACAACAGGCCCGGCTCCATGTTTAGGTCTCAAATGCAAAATCAATGACAACAGTAGATAATTCACTCACATCCTGAGTGGACGCGTCCTTCACAAAGTTTTGACTGAGTTCTCTTTGAATACTCTTTCAATGCGCTCGCAATCATCAGATTCGTCCGCTTGGGGAAGGGCTCCGAAGCACAACTTATGTTAGAAAGTGTTCTCCAGCACGTTGCATGCAGTAACACATTTCGACCAGAGAGGTCACCAAATCCCCAAAATGTACCCATGCAGCTTTAACTTTAACAAACATTCATGTAACAAGATTTTGGTCCAAAGTAATTTGGGGTTATTTCTGTCAGTCCATCATGAAATTTTAACACAAGTTAAAAGGTTTTAACTTGACTGTGTCGATATGTGAACAACAAACTTTTAATAACACCAAAATCTGAATGAGGCATCAGTATTTTTTTCAGGCCTTCCAAATCCGCATACCAAGAATATGACCTTCCTCCTCTGTTCATCTGTCTGTTTTTCTCTTTCTGTCTATCATGCCCTTTATCCTTCTCATACTCTCACCACTGGAGCATTGTGGTTGTATCCAGTACTGTATTTTTGATCCATGTCTCCTTGATATTGTCTTTTTCATTTTCCCTTTCCATTGTCTTTGATAGAAACTCTGTCATGTCCAACTTGAATCCATCATTTTCAGACTTACTTACCTTTCGGCATCAATCTTTTGTCACTTCCTAAATCCAGAAACTCCCACTTCCAATTTAACTCTTCTCTCGGTTTTGCTGTTGCTGTCCACGTCTTTCAAAACTCATCTCTGTAGAGTTGTTTATTGTACACTCATAATAATGAAGTATCCTTTGGAGTGACTTTTGGTTCCTTAAAGAAGTTTCCAGGGGATGGAAATGTTCTTCAGGGAACCAGATGTATTTCTTCTATGGTATCACTAATTTTAAGGGTATCTGTTGTTGTTTCTCTCCCTTTTTTCACCAGGCTTTTGGAGTTTGTTCCTGACATGTGACCATTTAAAGAAAACAGAATGTTAAAGTGTTAAAAAAGCAACACCTCCTTTTACAAAGTGTCATTTTGAAATCCCCTCTCTTTTTCCAGGGTTAAACATTCAGTCCCAGCCCTGGCACGTCTCTTCATTGTCTATTTTCTTTGGTTTCTGTCAGCGTGGGGAGATTCAGAAGTTGCTGAAGATCTCCTTTTTCTTGCTCCAGTCCATGGGGGGCGCTCTCTTGTTGGCTCTTTTTGCCCTGGCTCTCTGCTTGGCCTCGGCAGCTGTGGGGCTGAGGCGAAGACCAGTCTCCAAAAACGATTCCTGCTGTGCCTTTAACTCCTGCTTTCCACTGGGGGCGCTCTGGTACTTGCAATGGCTCGAATCAAACATCTGTGAAGCAAACACGGCAGTTAGGTCAGAGAGGAGAATTATCACTCTGTAATGTCTTCCAGGTTTCTCAAACGCTAGAGGGCACTCGTGAGCGCGTCCAAAATGAATGGGTGAAGATGGAGCGTTTGAGCAAAATCATACTTTATGAATACTGAATAGCATAAAACATTTTAACACTGCTGTTATATTTTTAAGAGCCTTTAAACTCGAGTTATAGGAGTTTAAAACGGCGCCTCATGTACGTTCATGACATCTGTGACTGCGAACAGCCAATGAGCTGCTCTGCTCGCCAACCAATCAGCACTCAGTAGCAGTAATGCCAGCGTTGTGCTGCCCAAAACCTGTTTGCTATAGAAAAAGGAAACATACAGGTGAGTTTTCTTTGTTTTTTTAGTGAAATACATCCTCCTACTTTCTAAACTTAAAGGAAAGTTCTGGGCGAGTGATTAGAAACTAATTTAACTTTGAGCCATTGAGCTCCATTAACCCCTATTCATTGAGGATTCGCTCACTGGCGCCCTCTGGCATTCAGCAGTCCTGTTTTTTATATAACAGGGGAAATAAGAAGTGGCCAGGCTCCTCATAAACCGACTGGTTATGTTAAAAACACTGTTGTTTTGTACTGACAGGAAGTTGTGGTGATGTTGCTGTGTCAGTGTACATCATATCAAGCTGCTGCTACCACTAAATTTAAACAAGAAACATGTTTTGTCCTGGACTTGTGAATTTACGGTTCTTTCTGCTAGGCGGGGGAAACTGAGGTCCAGGGTCCACTACAGTGTGTTTATTTCCATGTTCTAGCACACCAACCAAGCCTGGTTGAATCAGGAGTGCTTGAGCAGGAAATTCATCAAACTGTGCAGGAATCCTCTCTTCCAGGATCGGAGTTCCCCACCCCTGTTTTAAGCCATCACAAGGATGTCTAAATTTTATAGCTGTAATAAGCTCCTCCCTTTTTGCTTTGTTGTGGGATAATTATTGATTATTAATAGTATCCATCACTACCAACAGGTTCATTTATTGGAGGATGTACGTTTGTATGCCATCTTTAAAGTGTAATCTTTCTGTTAGTTTTCAAAAATGTGTGTTTTTTGTAGTCCAACATTTCTATCAAACTGTATCTGTGTGGGATCAGGGGAAGCCCACTGCAGCATTGCATGGCTTCTTCCTACACAGTGTTCAGTTTATCTACACAGCAGCTGATTTCAGTTGGTATTCTGGTCACACATTGGCTCAAAGGGGTAAAAGGCCTTTGAAAAACTAATTATAGACACAGAATGGAGGTCAAAGAGCAGGTGGTTTGGCAGTTTAACTAGATGATATTTTGCCATGTTTATTACCAGCATTATCTGAGCCTCTTCCTTTCTTCAAGTGTCACTCTAAGCTTTTCCTTGCTAGACATGTTTAATTAACACAAGCTAACAAAACAAACCCTCAGCCTTGTTAGCAGCTTAATTTATAATTCCTTACTGTTGACCTAATCTAGGCCAGTACAGGGTGTATTTAAAGTATTTGTTTACATTTAATTGTAACAATTGATTAAAAAATGCAGTCAACCATCTTCATTCACACTTTACAATAAATTACTACAAATCTATTAATTAATTACTATTATAAAGTAGTTTTTTTGTAGCCAGTAAGATCTCAGCTTACGTGGAACAAGTACTGTTAGACAAGTATCCCAGACGACCCCTCAGGAAAATCTAAAATATTTGGTCACACTTTATTTGGATGGTCCCTAAAGATGATCTACAGATACTATTAATAAACTTTCTGGTGATGTTTGGTTGATTATCAACAACATTATGATTAGGGTTTAGATGTAGGCATCTTCAAGTTCAGATGCATTTAATCGATATTTAGTTGAAAGTTACTTAAAGATATTCTAAGCATTTACAAAACATCTACAGTGGACCATCCAAATATGTTGCCATATATTTTTATTGGGTGAAAATGTAAAAATAAATGAACGATGTGTAGACAGATGCCATGTCTCTTACATTCGAGCTTTAATCTAAGATCATCAGATGCTGCTGGGATTTAGTAAATATTACAAGTTGTTCACACTCGGTTTTAGCTGAGAAGCTGCGGAGCCTCACAGACTGTAGGCAGAGACCGTGATATTGCCTGAAGCACCTGGCTGAGCGAGGAACGCCATCAGCAGTGCACACAGAAAGCCAACTAGTGTCCATGCTAGGCTACGACTAACCCCAAGAGACTGGCTTTTCCTTCCACCCTTAACTCATTAACCCATTAGAATCTGATGTTGCTCCTTTGACAATAAATTGGACTAACTTAGCTTAGGCTGCAACTCAACTCATGAGAGGTGAGGGAATCAGCATGTGTTGCACTGTTTGTATGTCGCGTTATCTTTGTTTATTTGCATGCTGGTGTAACGATAATGATAAAACTCGTACCTTGAGAGGAATTTCAAACGGTATACTGGATGAACTGATATATTAGCCACTAAATAACACATACTGAATTATCAAGTGTCCAGAAATGTGTTAAAGAAAATCCAAACTATCTTCTGTTTCACCGTCTTTTAGAAACCAGACACCCTTTGTTTTAAAACTAATACCTTAAGAGAAGAATTTCAACCGGTATACTGGATGAACTGAAATATCGTCCACTACTAATCTCTGGTGTTCTCAAATTTATTGGAAAAAAAAGAAAAACGTTTAATGAATCTAAACTTTTGACTAAAGTTTCTAAAGTTTGACTGAAGGACCTAAAGGAGTAACTACTGTTTGTATGATTAATGTTCACTGTCAGTTGCTCCTACTATCACTTAGAGACATGTGTGGCGTCCAATGTTTGCTTCATCCAGTTTCAATCTTTGCCCTTCAGGACCATTTCGAGTCCATGTTCTTGGTCCAGTAAGTCAGCCGAGTTTTCCTGCAAAACAAGGATGTTTTCATCCTAAAACAAACAAAAACATACACACACCTTGTTGCCATCAGAGCTGCTCAGCTCCACACTCATCTCCGATAGGGTGGAATGTGAGGAGGAGCTTCCGTGGCTTTGGTGCTTCAGAGAGCCGTTTGTGATTGGTGGATCGGTCAGCATGACATTTACTATTGGTGGGGAGATGAGGGGGCCATCAGTGATTGGTGAAGGGGAAGCAGAGCTGTCTGTGTTTGGACGGTCTGACACTGGACTCTCTATCAGTGGTCCATCCACACAATCCTCTGTTAGAAAGAAATAAAAATACAAACAAACTCAGCTATTCAATTTAATTCATTAGAAAGCACAATTATAATACCTTATAGGGGAATTCCATCAATTATTCGAAATGTCTGAATAATTCAGTAACTGAGATGTAAACAGTCATTCAGAGTGGTTTGATGTAAAATGGTTCACTGTAGAGAAACTTACTGACCCAGATTTCTTTACTGTGGTGGTGATAGGAACCAGGGGTCACAATGTCTATGGCACAAATATAGGCAAGGCAGGTTTATTGATAGAGCACCTTTCATACACTGCTGTCAAAGTGCTTTACAAATGAGAGTAAGAGTCATTTAAAGTAAAGTAAAAAGTAAAGTAAAAGAGAACAGAAATTAAAAACATGATTAAAACAATAGATTTGAAAGAGAAAATTATCAAAGTAAGAATCAAATTAGAAATTAAATTGGGATAATTAAAAATCAAATTAAAAGTTAGAAAATTACAGCCATTTCATTTACTTTTCAAACCCACCAGTGAACCTACTGAGTTTTATATGTAATGCTGATGAGAGTAAAATGGTGGTAAATCTGAACAAATGTCTTTTGGGGTGACTGTTATGCCTTCATGTACCTCTTCAACATGAATGAATTAAAAAAAAATGTTTAAGAACAACATTTTCTCAAAACTTATCATAAAACTGTGAGAGTGTTTACATGCACTCAATAATCCGATCATAATCAGATTTCTGCAGTTATCTGATTATTTAAATGGTCGTGTAAACAGCACACTCTGATTTCTTAGATCAGAGTAAGGTCTAGAAATCTGATTAAGAAATTTGATAAAGAGAGCTGGATTTTAGCTCAGTAAACAGATTTCTCAGTGCATGTAAACTCTTACTCTGATTTCTTTCAGATTGCACATCAGTGAAAACAGACCGCGGTACCAGAAATAAGCAGTGTTAAACACATCACCCATGAGATGGCAGCAAAACACTTTTGGAGTGACACTGAAACCAACTAAATGGTTGACGAAATGAAGGAGTTAAATATTCTTCATCTTCTCGATGATGTATGTTCATATTTTCAGGTTAAGTGGGTTGATGTTTAAAAAAGCCGCAGCATGAAGTTTGAGTTTTACATCACGTTTACGTCACATCTTCTATGAGTTTATTGGCTGGTTGCAAAGAAGAAATCTGATTACTGCCTGACTCATGTAGACCTGGAGTGTAAACACATTGATCGTATTACTGACAAAATCTGATTTTCTGCAGTTATCAAATTATTAAGTGCATGTAAACGCACTCACTGTCTCAGACATCAAGCAGTGTTTTCATAACCATGTGCGTTCTTATAAAGTTGCTCAGTTGGACAAACTTTACAGAACACAGACTCTAATCCCATTCAACTGAGTGAGCTCAAACCACTCTGAACGACTTCATTTACATCTTAATCATTTAATTCTAAAAAGGCTGTGTAGACTGTGGAAGGTCCAGCACCGGTAGCTGTGACGGATTTAATATTAAGTGTAGAAGAATCTCTGTAGAGGACGTTTGGAGAGGTGCTGATGCTGTACTGTACCTTTAAGGTGTTCTTCTGTGGGTGTAATTCCCAGCCTTTTAAACAGCGCGTCTGTTTCTGGGTCGACCACCAAAAGCTGCGTGTGTCCTCCTCCTCCCCGAATAAACGCCACAACCTCTGAATGCTTCATACCCGTGATGCTCCGATTATTCACCTGAAACACACACACATACAGGTGAGGGGATGGAGGTGCATTTACATGACCGGACCACCAGATGGCGCATGAAGCCCAGTTACTGCGCCTTCCTCTTCAACTTCCACTTCCTTTCTAATTATAGACAAACTGTTGTCATGTACAAACACTCAGAATCGTGCTGTATTTAAACAGTCAAGCAATGTAAAGGGAAATTCCACCGATTTTTTAAAATTCAGAGTGGTTTGATGTGAAATGCTCCGTTCCAGAAAAACACACGGACTCTGAATTGTTCACAGGGGTGGTGACAGGAACTCTAAAAGCTCCCTCACTGTAAGATATTACAAAAAATGGTTATGCATATCCTGCCTGATGCCTGACACATTGTTTTACAACTAACAACTATGTTTTTAATTCCATTCTTGGTGGAGCGGTAATTTTTTTTTCACATGTACCACTATTTCACCATAATCAACATCACATATAAGGACTCAGAAGACTTGTGAAGGTTCACTGGTGGTTTTAGGTAGTGCATTAAATGTCTATATTTGTGTTGTAGCCATTGTGACCCCTGGCTCCTATCAGCACCACTGTAAAGAGATCTGAGTCTGTAAGTTTCTCTACAGTGAACCATTTCACACCAAACCACTCTGAACGACTGTTTTTATATCTGCATAAATTATTTAAACTTTTTTTCTTAATCAGTGAAATTCCCCTTGAAATACTTTAAATCTGCTTCCACAACAAACAAAAACAGTGATATTGATGTCTATATCTAAATGTATTCCCAAACATATTTTTTTAAAGTAAAAAGTATTAATATTATTCCTTAATGTTAATAAATCAATTAATTAATTATTATTATAAAGTTGTTTTCTGTAACCAGTAAGATCTCTGCATTTGTGCAAGTACGTTAGTCCTGTTGGACAAGCATCTCAGGTGGCTCCTCATGAAGACAATTGGGTCTAGTTGCTACAAGAATCTGAAGCAGAGGGATTTTTTAACAGGGTTCTGCTCGCTGGATAGTTCCACATTAGTTCTATTTCGTAGTTTTAAGGCCTGTTATTTTCAAATGAGAAAAATAGTGGCAAAAACAATCCAGACTTTTGACTGGCACTACAGCCAAAAAGTAAAAATATTTCTAAGCCAAGTCAATTAAAACAGCCGGTAGAGGATCTAAAGGAGTAACTACTGTTTGCATGATCACCTTCTATCAGTTGCTTCTACTTTCACTTGTAATCCGTTTTACACTAGAGCGTGCAGCTCTTAAATGGTGCACCAGTTATATTCTGGCACCACAGGCACCATTTAAGGTGGAATGGAAATATTCGAATGAGAAGCTGGCAAACGAGAAGCGACTTCAGCCTCATAAAAAGTTGAACGTTGAGTTTCCTGCTGGAGATGCGAGAAAAGCGGCTATAGCTGAGCTGAAGCTTAAAGCAGAGCTAAGTAAGTCTGCGTTTTCGTTTATATTTTTTTACTAGTACTAGTTTTTTACTAGCCTTTACTAGTACATTAACACATACTGAGACATATTTACAGCTAAGATGGTAAAACGGATATAAAATGTTGAGGCTCCCAAAGTGGTTTGATTTTTATTGAAAGGACAAAATGGTTCTTCTTAACATTTGGGTTACTGACCCCTGCCATAGAGATACAAGGCTAGTGTAACTAACAAGAAAGGAACATTTTAGCATGATGCTATCTGCATGCCTAAAACATCACACATTTGCCTGGAGCTGTGTGGAGTTGTTCAGTATCTCTAATAGACTTGCTTATGTGGTTTCTGACACTGTATGACACACTTATCAATAACAATGGACAGAATTCAAGACAGCTTCAAGACGGCTGCAACTAACGTAATATTTTAATCTATGCATCTACATACCCTGTCCATTTATACAAGCATTCCCTTTCTCTTTCTCTCTCAGATTAATCTTAATCCAGGCTAATCCGGGCTAATCTCAGTGTTAATCTGTAAGCGCTGGATTACCTCCACCACTCTGTCTCCGGGCCGTAACCCTGCTCTCTCTGCAGGTGAGTCTGGATCCACCGAGCGGACGAACTGCCCCACGCGGCTCTTATCGCAGTGCAGGTTAAAGCCATATCCCCCCTCGCTCATCGCCATGCAGCACAGACGCGGCCGCAGGTCCTGCATCACCTCTTCCTCCTCCGCTACAGCTTCCTCCTCCAGAGAGAGAAAAACAGACATCACTCCACCTGTCATTTTAGATCAGATTAGGGATCATATTTCTGATACAGTTCAGCTGAGCTTTGTAGTTATACCAGTGCAATATAAAAGCTTTCTCACTGAGAGCGTTTACATGCACTCAATACTCTGATCATAATCTGATTTCTGCAGTTATTCGATTATTCAAATGGTCATGTAAACACCACACTCCGATCTAGAAATCCGATTAAGAAATCCGATAAAGAGAGCTGGATTTTAGCTCAGTATTCTGATTTACCCAGTGCATGTGAACTCTTACTCTGATTTCTTTCTGATTTCTCAGTCTGCACATGCGCTACAATAGACAGCGGTACCGGCAGTGTAGCCGCGACATGGCAACAAAACACTTTTGGAACGGCGCTGAAACCAAATACGAAATTAAGGATTTAAATATTCTTCATCTTCAAAATGATGTGCGTTCATATTTTCGGTTCATATTTTCAGCTAAAGTGGTGCATGGTTACGTTTACGTTGCGTCTTCTGTGAGTTTATTGGCTGGTTGCAAAGCAGAAACCTGATTACTGTCTGACTGATGTAGACCCGGAGTCTCCCATTATTTCCCATTATTACTCAAGTGCATGTAAACATGTTGATCGGATTACTGACAAAATCTGATTTTCTGCAGTTATCGGATTCTTAAGTGCATGTAAACACACTCACTGTTCTCTTTAGTGTAACACATAGCCGTGCAAAATTCGGAACACCTCTTTAATTATATGCTGTGTTGATTTTGTAATTCAAAACACAAAGTTAACGTATCCTCCACAGAGAACGCACTTAAATATGGTATTTTTCTACTACTTTCAGTGCACATTTTTTATTTAGCTGCTGAAAAAAACAAAACTTAAAATTTTAAATGTGCCTTAACTTGTGCACAGTGCTCACACAACTTGTTTATATGCATTATCATCATGACAACCAATCACTGCTGCTTCAGCACTATCGCTTTTACTTGATTATTTAAAATGGAGAGATAAAGTTTTGCCACAGCCTGAAACAACACATCCTTATTTCCATTCTCCATGCATGTTCACTCTAGAGTGCACTTTGTTCTACTGAGTGGAAACGGGTCAAGCACACTTAGAGCACAGCAGTGTGGAGAACTGGTGGGTGGAGGAGGTGCTAGTCATGGTACAAAAATAAGACAAAATTGAATGACTCCGGCATGACGCTAATAACTACATTTGTAGTAAGGAGGATAACTGATTTGTAAAATTGATTATGCACAAAAGGAAATTTCAGTTACTGTAGTATAAACAATGCTTGCAGTTACGGTACAATCATTTCTGTTTAACCCTTTTGCTGCCACATGGAGGCTAAAGCAGAGAGCTAACAGCAGGTTTTACAGTGATCTGGCTGTGTGTTTGTGCTGTATTTCTGTGTTGTGGTATGTTAGAGCTGGTTTCTCTCACTCAGGCTATTCAGGGAGGCTTCTGCTGAGTGTCTTAAAGTGTGGCGTAGCTATTGTTAACCCTTTGTTTATAATATGAAGGCTAAAAGCAGAGACGTAGTATAACAGTAGCGAGTGGTGTTTGGGTGATTTTGGAGCTGGATCTCTGGCTGATGGATGGTCACAGGTGGATGAATCACTCTGTATGGTGAGGACAGAGTCTGATGAGTGATCTGATGTGGGAATCATGTCGCTGTTTTAACCCTTTGTTGGAATATGAAGGCCACAGAGCAGAGGAATAATAACAGGATTTTGGGTGATTTTCCGAGCCGAATTACTCACTAATGCTGACGTCACAGCTCGATGACGTCACGCTAGCTAGTTAGGGCCGGGTCTGCTGAATGATCTGATATGTATATCGTGTCTGTAGCTCAAACCTTTCTGTAGTTTTGAAGGCTGGGTCTTACCTACATTCGTGCCTGCAAAGTGCTAAAGGGTTAAAGGTAAACTGTAATACAACAAATAAACACATATTTAGTTTCATTTTAATTCACTGCACTGTTGCTTTAATTCACTGCACTGTTGCTTATTCTTCTTTCCTCCCTTGACTTGTTTATGTAAGAATTACAGCAGCTGTGATGGCATTAAGGAGAGGGAGGGAGAGAGGGAGAGAGAGAGAGAGAGAGAGAGTTTGATAATGCAGGTATTAAAGTCAGGCTTATCCTTCATTTGACTAAGCAAGTTTGCTTACAGAGCAGAACACACAAGAGCTGTTTAACACAGTGCTGCTTCTTCTGAACCCCATCACGTGTTTCATCGGTTCACTTACTAGCTACTCATGAACCAGCCGAGCACAGACGCTCCTTTTAAAGTAGTTAATGATCAGACATTAACATAAGATTTTACTCTGAATAGTTCTGCACCATCTCTATGGTCCACTCTTCATGAAATGTTCACACAGTATGAAGAGCAGCTAGTGTTTTAAAATGGCGTGAATTAAAAAAAAAGCTGAAAATTAAAAATAAAAGGCAAAAAATGGAAATATAAGGTTTTTTATATGTGGTTTTAAAATGGTGAGATGTTACTAGGCAACGTGTTTTAAAAATAAGGCCTTTAGTTACAACTGCATGTCCAAAAAAGTTGGGACGCTGTGAAAAATGTAAATAAAAACAAAATGCAATGATGTACAAATCATTTAAACCCTATATTTCATTAAAATGCGTCAACAAATCAAATGTTGAAACTGAGAAATTTGATTGTTATTGAAAAAAAAAATATGCCCATTTTGAATTTGATGCCAATAACACATTCCAAAAAAGTTGGGGCAACAAAAGGCTGATAAATTTGTGTAATGCTAAAAAAAAAAGACACCTGGTGGTTGATTGACAACAGGTCAGTAATATGACTGGGCATAAAAAGGCATCTCAGAGCGGCTGAGTCTTTCAGAAGTAAAGATGAGGAGGGGTTCACCACTCTGTGAAAGACTGAACCATCAAATAGTGCAACAATTCAAGAATAACATTTCTCAACGTAAAATAGCAAAGAACTTTTGCTTTTCATCATCTACGGTACATAATAACATTAAAAGATTCAGAGAATCTGTAGAAATCTCTGTACGCAAGGGACAAGGCCAAAAACCAGTATTTGCTGGCCGTGATCTTTGGGCCCTCAGGCAGCACTGCATTAAAAACAGACATGATTCTGTAGTGGAAATCACTGCATGGGCTCAGAAACACTTCTGAAAAACACGTTCTCTGAAAACAGTTCGTCTCTGCATCCATTGTTCAGCTCCTTTGTTTGATGTGTCTCCTTTTCTCAGTAAGAGCTTCTTAACAGCTACACATCCTTTCAGACTCATAGTGCTGAGTGTCTCACAGTGGAAGGATGGACAGAAACTCCTGTGGATGTTTTCAGATCTGAATCCAGAGTGGATCTTGATTTTCTCCTCTCTCTCAGAGATGAAAGCTTTAAGTGCTGTTTATCTGATGGGGACAGTTTTGGTGTCTGTCAGCTCTTCCAGGTGGTTGTTAGGAGCCTCATTTTCTCTAAGTCTTGGCATTTTGACTAGAAATTAAGTAAGTGAAAGCTGGTCTCTGTCATTTGCACGGTACTGTAAATGGGTAAATGTAAATGCATCTCCGCTTCCTTTGCAGTGACCTCCCTGCATAATTTTGGAGAAGGGAGGAAGAGCCCCTGCGAAGTTCACAGGGCCATGTTTGTGCCTGCGTTAGACTCTTTTCCTAAAGAAAGTTCGTAAAACACACCCTGCAGAGGCGCAGGACATTCTGTAAGCCATGATGTCACTTCCTGTTCTCAAACAATGCAGGGATGGAGACTGTTTTAATCGGATGAGGCGCAGGCCCCACGCTCATGGATAGACGCACACGGACGCACACAAAAGCAGTCACGCAAACAGACGGAGTACAAGACAATCCTCAGAAAAAAATAAAACCAACATGATCGAGGTACACAAACAACTCTCTGCACACACTCTCTTTCACACGCAGAAGTGGAGGAACGGTGTCAGGGAGGTGTGCGCACTGTGTCCTGAGGGAGGAAAGAAAGAGCGTAATCTAATCTCGGTGTGCTTTGACTTCACAAACGACCCAATCTCACAAACACACACAAACACACACAATGACCCTCTTCCTGACGCTTCTGGGAAAAAACCGAGAAATCAGACACCGGCTCACTCTCCATTAGCAGAAAGGGAAAGCAGACCGAGCAGAGGAACATCGCTGCACTGCTGTACTGAGTCTCTTCACTGGCTTCCTGTAGCTGCCTGCATGAGATTTAAAGCCTGATGCTCACCTACAAAGCCAAAAATGGACCAGCCCCTCCTTACCTGATGGCTATGGTCATCACCCAGTCTGTTCATCGAGCCCTTCAAGCTCTACAGCAGGGCTTAACCCACCACCCTGCAAGATTTATGGAAGACAAGCACCAAGACTTTGTCCTGGAGTCCAGGTGGTGGAACGAACTTCCCTTAGTGTCCGGAGTCCCTCAGTATTATGTCTGGGTATACAATACGATACGATACAATAACAAACCACTAACTTTTACCTTAAAATTTGTTCTAAAAACTACAGGGACAATGAGTAAATGAATGAAGTTAGAGAGGATGATAACAACATCTGTTGTATTAATGCTACCTATTTTAAGTACAACAAAATACAGGATTAATGAATATATGGCCAAAAGTTATTTGGCCCCTCAATTATTGAGTTCAGGTGTTTCAGCCACACCCATGTGTGACAGGTGAATAAAGTCAAGCGCACAGTCATGCGATCTCCATAGACAAACACTGGCAGTGCAGTGGGTACCGAAGAGCTCAGTGACTTCAAACTTGGTACTGTCAGAAGATGCCACAACTCTAAAACTGTGTGGACCAGCAAGGTGATTTTTCTTCCATTGGCTCCACAGGACATAGAACTTTCCAGCACCCCCTCAGTGTCTTGCCTTTCCACTTTCTCTGGGTTGGTTCAAGCGTAGTAAGTAGGTATGAACCCCAGTATATCTTGAGACAGACATCAGAAGACAGAAGGCACAGGCTGATTCCCTCTGCAGGGAGGCACCAGAGTACAGGCCAGGTTTGGCTTTCTACTCAGGACGTCGACCTTTCCTCTGCACTTTGATTCATTTACGTTAATACACCACATCAGTAGGGGGATGTACCGTCTCCAGCCTCCTCCATATGTGTCACTTTCCTTTCATGTCTTTCTCACAGGCCTGTGGTACCTGGCCCGACTGGAAGATTCAGAACCTCCAGCCTTCATTGTTCACAGCAGTCGTGGGCTGGAGGTGAGGGAACCAGCCTTGTGACCGGAAGGTCACCGGTTTGATCCCCAGAGCTAACAGGGCATGACTAAGGTGCCCTTGAGCAAGGCACAGCAAGGCCGTGGATAGGGCTGACCACTGCTCTGGGCAAGTGTGCTCACTGCCCCCCAGTGTGTGTGTTCACTAGTGTGTATGTTCACCAGATGGGTTAAATGCAGAGGTGAATTTCCCCGTTGTGGGATTAATAAAGGGCAATGTAATTTAAGGCCGACCTGAACAGCAGGAGAGGGACTTCTCCAGTATTTGGAGGAGTGATCCTGGGTTACTGCTTGGACCCCTAACATAAGCTGGGGCCTAGCTGCTCAGGACTGGGACACTGGGTGCAACATCTGGGAGTTTGGAGGAGGGGCTTCCATAACAGCTCAGCAATGCTCCATATTAACACCTGTGGCTCATATTACCCTCCTAGCTCCTCTGTGAAAGCTCAAGCTCTTGTCCTTCGCCCTACGTATCCTGTATTTTCGTTTTCCTTGTGTTTACACAGCTAAAAAAAGGACTATTGGAAACCTAATGGTTTAATGGTTTTGCCCAAGAATTGGCCTTATGGTTTTTCAATAGAAACCACTAGTTTTTCTGTACAACGTGGTGTGGATTAAGAGATTGAATCTCCACTTTCACTTGTGATTTTTTCATTCTTTGAAAGAGCTATGAGTGAGCAATACTTCAGATAGAATTACAGCATGGTTTTGGTGTTGTTGCTGATAAAAGCAACATCTAAGGGTTACATTTAAAGCTGTTTTCAGATTCAATGTGCTGGAGTGCAGAGCCAAAACAGCAAAAACTGTGTCACTGTTCACTGCTGTACGTGCCGTACTGAACAAAAGAAGAATGCAGTATCATCACTGGCATCTCTTTACCAACAATGGATGACCCTGCACTCTGATCTGCCATGCTTTCTGCACTCACATGTCTTCACACACAGCGGCGGTCCGTACCTGTGGGCTGGTGCATGTAGCGCTGAGATCCGTTTGGCAGACGGTCTCTGAGAGTGATGTAGATGGGGATGGAGGGTGGAGTGGAGGAGTGATGGGGTGAGGACGCAGTGACGGAGAGCTGAGTAACACTGATGGAGAGATGGGGGGAGTCTGTAAGAGAGAGAGAGATAGAGAGAGATATTGTGCATGTTTTCTTTCATGTTTTTCCAGTTGCAATTTTGTAATGTTTAATGTTAAAGCTTAACCGTTCATATTTAACTCATTTATCCAGTTTTCCAGTAATCCAGAGATTACTGTCCATCACCTGAACTAATGTTTTACCTGGTTTGACCTGAGCGTGAGTGTGAGCGTGTCTGTGTGAGGAGGTCATTCCTGCTGATCCTGCTTTTGTTTTTTTTCCTTTAAGTCACACACTGATCTGTGCTGAGCTAATCTGAGGACTTTAGAGTTTTAAGCTGATCCTGGTTCAGATGTTAAATGTAGCACTGTGTGCATGTTTAATGATAACACTGTGAAAACATTAGTTAAAAAAAAACAGCTCACTGCCTTTTTAGCTGTGAAAATGATTTACTATACATCTATCTAATTGTGGCAAATCGATTTTGGAATGTTAGATTCATCATTATCTAATGTTCAATGAAAAGAGGTCTCAAATTTTTGGCCAAAATAAAATTCTCAAGTTATTTTCAAATGTAACAACCTCTGAAACTACCCTTGTTGTATTGTTATTATCATTTATATCACACTACTATGTAAACAGTTCCTATAGTCACATTCCTATATGGAATGTATTAATGAACGCAATTCTGCATTGTGTCAAAATAACCAAATCAAATGTAATGGTGGTGAAATGTGAGATTTCATGAGGCACTGAATCGCCAGGGCCGTACAATTCAACAATACAGTCAGAGGTGCTAGGAGAAATTTAAGGTAGTTGTAGGCCATCAGGTAGTCTGAACATTGGTGGACTAACCCAAATGTCAGTAAACAAAGTCTTGCATAAAACAAAATGCCTAAAAATTATTTCATTTCAATCTCACACATGAAATAGCAATGAGCCTCACCTTCAGGTATTAAGTTATTTCAGTTCCAATTTCAAAACTTGTGGGTGCACCAGGGCTGAACGATTTTGGGCAAATATCTAATTGCGATTATTCCAACTAATATTGCGACTGCAATTTAATTTGCGATATTTTATAAATTGAGATTCAGGCTTGATTTATTTTGGCCAAGAAGACCAGAATATCCACCTTTTTTGGCTTGAAGCTCAACCTCTGAACGTAGTGGGCCAAACTGCCAGTAAGCTGCTCTTATTCGGTTCAGTTTTCCCTCTGAAAACTTAAACTAATGTTTTTGCTAATGTACACACTTAAAAACGATGGTTCTTCAAGGGTTCTTTAGTAAAGACAATGGTTCTATACAGAACCATAAACACTCCACAACCCATGTGCATGCTTAAAAAGTTCTTTGCATGGTCAAATGGTTCATTAGATTTATGGAGAATGTGCTGTATATGGTTCTATATAGCACATTTTGAAAAAGGTTCTATATAGCACCAAAAAGTTACAAGCTTGACATCGTGACAATAGCAGAACCCTTTTTGGTACTATATGGAAGCATATACAACACATTCTCCATCATTCTGAGGCATTATTTTACCATGCAAAGAACCATTTAAGCATCAAAATGGGTTGTTTAGTGTTTATGGTTCTATATAGAATCACTGTCTTTACTAAAGAACCATCTTTTTTAAGAAACTTGATCTTTTTTAAGGCTTTAATTTAAAAATAAATTGCAGCTCTTGCCATTTCAATTGTCTTAAACTGTGATTTCAATATAAAAGCGATTAATCTTTCAGCCCTAGGGTGCTTTTCTTTTTATATATATATATATATATATATATATATGTATATATGTATTTTATATATATTTTCATATCACCCCCTACACTTATTGTAGTGTGTTACAATCTGTCAGTTATATCCTGTAACTCCAAGTGTTTACCAAATACATATAAGCAGGTTACACTGAGGCTGTGTTACACCATCACTTATGAAAGATGTTTCATCTAAACACAATCTAGTCTCGCTATACTTATTAGAACTTCCATAAACTGCAGTAATGAGTACTACTAAACCCACACCTGAACATAACCTTAACCTCAGTAACCAAAGCCCATATTTTGTTTCCATAAAATGTTGAATATGTGGTGAAAACAGCACATTTTCAAATGAGGACCAGCAGAAAGGTCACTTGTACAAATTCTCCTGTAGTATCACTGTGAGGACATTTGGTCCTTACTGGGGTAGTAAGACAAGCACACTCCCTCCTTTCTTCCTCTCAGTCTCAGTTTGCGCTCCACTGGGAGGGGCAACGTAAACACAATGGCTGCAAGTTCAGTCTTCAGTTTCAGTGCTGAAACAGGACAAATCGCGACATACACACCAGCCACGACACACCACACGTTCTCCACCCCCCTTAACCCAAATATAGTAGGTCAGTCAAGACATGTTTGCTGTCTGAAGTTTGTTTAGTTTTGCACTGAAGCGACAAGTTTAACAAGTAATGTAAGTGGTTAACAAGTGGGGGAAGGCTGTACACCACTAGGCCTGTGTTATAAGACAAGTAAGTGTGGTGGGAAAGAGAACAGAGAACTAGGGAGGAATAATGGCTTATTGGACAGCTCGCTAAATAGTAGTGAATAATATGCACATGTAATGCTTTACTCCCCTTTATAGTGAAAACAATGGATTAATACTTAGCATTAATAAGCACCATTAAATTCTTCCCTGTCTCTGCTGGAGTTTCCCACAGAGTGATGTACCATCTGAGGATTATCAGTGTTTTCCATACATCTATAAGGGGAACTCCATTGATTTTTTAAAAATTCTGCATTATGAAATGGTTAGGAAGTAAACAGAGTCATTCAGAGTGGTTTGGTGTGAAACGCTCTGTTCTAGAGAAACTTACAGAGTCAGAATTGTTCACAATGGTGGTGATAGGAACCAGACGTCTGAAAAGTTTAATGCCTGTAAAAGTTCCCTCACAGAAAGTTATTATATTCCTGAGAAAATGTTTTACGCGTTTGTTGTGGTAACACTAAGAACAGGAAAATCTTTATTATTTATTGTTTTTGTTTCTAGATAACACCAGTCAGAGTAGTTAGCCTAATTTCTGCCTTCTTAATCAGAAATGTGGTGTTAATCAAAGGTAAACAAGGCCTAAATGCATCAATGCATCCAAGGAGCTACTTTGTGGAGGTTTAGGTCTTGTTGAAGTCTTTTGATTGGCTGGTTGAGCTGTAGTTGAATGTCTTCAAAGGCCAGACAATATTGTTCTTTGGTGACTCACACTGTTCTTTTGAACAGACCATCATGTACAAGCAAAGCCTACGATTTACATACTCACACTGTATGAAAAGCTCGGTCTGACTGACATCAGCCTCTACAGACTTATCCGAGTACTGAGCAAATAAGCAAGTAAGTCTGATCAGTAAAACAGTAAAGTCGGCATATATGGACCTAGCTAGCACGTGTTAACTTTTTCTCCTCCGTTTTGTTAGCCTGTGTGTCTCCACCCGTATTCAGAAGGTGGTTGTGATTGTTTAAAACTGGCTAAAATCACACAGTGAATTCATGGCAGGAATTTAAAGTGTCTGACTGCCACAAAGTCAGTAATACAGGAGCAGCCCCTCCTTCGCTGCCAGCCCAAGTCATGTGTTCATTAGCATGGCAGCGTACACTTACATCACACAGTATCAGGTGGTATTGGTACATCGGTACACACTACTAGTATCAGTATCAATGCATCCCTAATTGGTATTATTACTACTGGTATTTTATTCTTATTAGCGGTACTACCAATGACACTTAAGTTAAGTGACCCTTATATAGACAACCGGGAAATTTCACCACCGCATTTAACCCATCCGTGCAGTGAAACACCACATACACACTAGTGAATGCACACACACTAGGGGGCAGTGAGCACACCTGCCCGGAGCAGCCCCTGAAGTGTGCAGGTGTGTATTAGTGTTAGTGGGCAGCCCTATCCACAGCATAGGGCTGTTGGGGTTAGGTGCCTGGCTCAGGGGCACTTCAGTCACGTACTGCCAGCTCAGGGGATCCAACCGGCGACCTTCCGGTCACAAGGCTGGTTCCCTAACCTCCAGCCCATGTCTGCCTCCACTGATACTGATGATAGTTTTGGTTAGTTAGTGACCACAAATCAGGTTGTTAAACGTTTACACTCCTATTTACACACTCCCACCAGTCATGAGTTTGATCATACAGATACATCAAAGATGAAACTGATGAAAAACTGATCAAAACTGTCAGTGAAGTTTGTATTTTACATTTATCAGATTTGATCATTCGCTACTTTGATGTACTGTTTCACTACTTAGTGAACTAGTGAGTGAATCAAGACACAGCCCCAGTCTTCAAACCATTGATTAGTTATATGAGGTGACCCCCGCTTTGTTGGAATGAAAACCTGCAGCCACACCGGCCGTTTGCGGATAAGATTGGAGACCCCTGATATACACAGCTGCATCTGTCTGTCTGCGTGTAGTTTGGTGTAATCTAATATTTTTCCTTGCCACAGTTTACTGTAGTTGTGAATGAAATCTGTGGCTGTGGATTCTGGTTTGGCATCAGAACACTAACAAACAACCACACCTGCACTGTGACAGTGTTATATAAGTGGCTGTTTTGCTGCTGGTTGAGGTGCTTAGCATCCGTTTTGTAAGCCTGTTTAAATGCCTGAGTGCTAAATTAACGCTCTAGGCTTTAATCTGATCATTATACTACAGACACGTAGCTGGGACCGGTTTTTGCTGCTTCTGTGATGCTGCTGTGCAGTAATACAAACTTTTTAAACTGTGAGGTTTGCGTTCTCTGCAGTGAGTCTTCCAGTAAACAAGCAGTTCTTACCTAAACCGTGAGACCTGACAGCTGTGCAGGTTAGTTATTTAGCAGGTTAGTTAAGCTGTGACATGTGCAGTGAGGCAATAGGCCAATTTCCCCCTCATGCCCAGTGAAAACGGTAACATTCAAGGTCAGTGGCATCATGCAAAATATCTGCACATTTGTATTCATGCATAATGGACACACATGCTGAAGTGGTGGCTACTCAGGTGGAAATCTTTT